TTCCGATCTCCCCAAAACCCCAAAACCCCTCAAGGATTAATTAGATGGAAATGGGTGAAAATATAGTAGTAATATTAGATTTTAATGAAAGTTAATTATAATTTCTATTTATCTGGTGAAATATTAAGGAAAGTTACATTCATTACATTTTGTTATTGATTTTATAATTAATGGCTAAACCAAATGAAATCTAGCAATCTTTTGGCTTGCATTACTATTATTATTTAGCTTTATTGTACGATTAATAATTTATTTTAGAGTTTTAGTCTTTGTATGTCTCATGATGATAAGCTTCTTCATTACTAATGACGAGTTGTGTAGTGAATAACTCATGAGTCTCTCTTGTTTCCTAGCGGTGATAAAAGGTTATGTCTCTAAATACTGATTCATCAACCATCATTCTTGAGTTTAGTTGCTCTGTCTTTATTTACTCTCCTTTTATTTCTGAGTCACTTGACATAAACTGAAAAATAGAGGATTCTTCTTCACTAATAGTTTCGGAGATGTCTTCTTTGAATTCCATACTAGGTTCAACTATAGTCTCAAGCCTCTTTGGCGTGAATTTCTTATTGTTCTTAGTTAATTGCAATTTTAGCTGGAACTATTATGATTGGTGTGCGTCATCATTTCTTGCTGTTTAGTTGTTGGTGTATTGCTAGTTTATTTACGAGTTTTGGTTGCTTGCTTGTGTTATTAATTCATCTTAGTCCTTATGATTGTCATTATTAGAAGATTGAGATTTGATGAGAGGGTTCTAAATAAGAGGAGAATCATCTTTATAAGTTATCGCTTTTCTTAATAAAATATTTTATCCAACTGACTGTGTCGATTATTCTGTATCTTAGCTTATTATACTCAGCCTTCTTTGTTGGAATAGTTAGCATTTTATAGATTCCATATTTACTAAAGGTGAAGGTCGAACTGATTTGCTACTAGAAGATTTAGCTCTAAAGCCATCTTTCAAATGAGAGAGGGGACTCATGTTATTCATGTTAAACGATGTTTTCTTTTAAACTTTCCTTTATTGAGTTGGAGCCCTGTCAATAATAATTTTGTCTGCAATTTTTTTAAATTTCTTTTATATTACCTACTTGAGTTATCTCTTCGTGATTTCAGATGGTCCTTGGCTCATAGAACACGGAGTTTCGGGTAGTGTGTTTTATTCTTAAAGAATTTGATTAGCAGCCAATTAAGAGAAAGATTTTTAGTTCATGCTCCCAAATGCAAGCGACGCAGAAATATTGTTCTAATTTCCCGATGTAATAGTAGGTGTGAGGCATTGTTGTTTCATGAATTATTCATCTTCTTGCTCTATCAGACGTTAATCAACTAGGAGTTGATTTAGTCTCTTTTTAATTTACATTTTCTTGAGCCTTTCATTCAAATCCTTGGTTATGACTTCTGTTCTAACTGAGCATTAATTGATAGTTTTTAGATTGAGATCATTCTGTTGTTGAGTTAATTGCTTTGTGAGATCAACCCAGAATGAGTCTATAAACTTGTTGTCTTGTTTGGCAATATTTTAGAAAGCTGATTAAACATCTCTTGGCTTCAGATTTTTGTTTCTGTAATACATATCCTTAGTTATACCTTGTGTTCACAGATTTTATGAGAAAAGAATATATTGATAATATTAAATTATATTCGGTCCTTAACATATTTATCATATTTTTTAATTATCTTTAAATCTACTAATTTTGATACAGAGGGGTTTTGGGGTTTTGGGGTTTTGGGG